AGTGTTCCTCTCTGCATGCGGGAGGAAATGCAAACGAGCGCCTCGCTGCAATAAATTTCAGGCTGTGAGTCAGCACGGGCTGCCGGTAGCTCCCTCCAGGGGCCTGTTAATTTTACTGTTGATTAACCCTTGTTAAAAAAGACACTTGAAAAAAATAATGCTGAGGGTTTATTACTATTACTGCCTTTCTGCTATTGCCAGTGAGGAAATTACACCGGTTAAAATTAAGGTTTTTTTTTAAAGAATCCATCTTGCTGGAGCAAACAAGTACTCTGCAAGCCCAGGAGCTCCTTGGGGACCGGGTATTTCTCCTAACACTGGCCATAGTCCGGCTGTTTGTCCCTGTCACAGCTATGAATGCCTGGCACCACTGTCCCATGCTGGGCAAACCCAGGGCAGATTCAGTGCCGTTCCCTTAAAGGTGACTTCTGTCCATGTGTCACTCCACGTCCATCGAAGCCAGCCTCTCTGCGCACACTCATGGGGAACTCCTCCTAAGTGGGTTTCATGAGCGAGGTGTCCATGCAAATACACAGTCTGGAGATGAGCAGCGTGAGGATAAACCTAGAGGAGCCTCGAGGGCTTTCCAGGAGAGCTGTGCAGGCAGCGAGTGAGTATCAGTGATTGCCATGGTCACTGCTATATCCCAAAGGTGACATGAAGGACCTATTCACAGCTTCCTACTGCTTCCCATGGAGAACATGTGATCGGGGCATACAGGTCTTTACCAACGGAGGAGAGGCTGCAGAAAGCGGTGGACGCTGGTCACGGGATCATGCCGGGTCACGCATCAAAGGAGAATTAGGCAGAGAACTGTTCTGTCAGAGCCAACAGAGTTTTGATGGAAAACGGGGGCAACCCTTGCCTGCACTTGCGTCCATTCCTCCATCGTTCCGTTTGTGTGCAATGGACCCGCGTAGGGCCTCTTCCCATGAAGGACTCGGCTCCTGTTCCCATCAGCCCCGGTTAAAGCAAACTCCACTCTCAGTCTCTTGACAAGACAAAAGATGCAGAACAGTGTAAAGAGCTTCACACTAGTATTTCTGGGGTGGTCAAGGAAGACTCTGCAGAGGTTCTACAGCAGCAAGCTGTGATGTTCCTCTTGGCAGATCCTGCTCTGTGTTCCCCCATCAGTCATGCTCCACAGCCAGGGCTGGAGCGCAGAAAAGCTGTTGGAAATGGGACTTAGAGCTGCACAGACTGGAGCTCAAAGACAAGCCTCCAGGATCACCTGAGAGGCGTTAGATCCGTACCAGCATCCAGAACAACCCCAGACTGTCCCAATGTCTCTACTGTAATAAACGTGGGCAGAGATACCCACAGAGTGTGGAATCACTCAACCGAAAAGTATTATTTATCAAGATTATGTTTATTGCAGATAATCTTTAGGTTCAGTATATCTATTGAGATAGATCTTACTGCACGGGGAAGCAAGCGCTGGAACAAGCCCGGTTTGTCTGGTTACACCTAACCAATTATATCAGTAAGGGGAACCAGCTCAGTCAGTTTGCAACAGGCAGAGCTAAATGACATGGTTTGCAGCAAGCAGTTAGTTTGTTTAAATCATCAGCCTCTGGGTACCTTTGTTCCATCATTAACGGGACTGCTCTCTAACCGGCTGAAGGAGGAAGAAGCTATCTGTTCAAGTTGCAGCGTGATTCAGCTGTTTTTTCATGCAAGAGGAAATCATACATTTCTAAAGCACAGTTAGAATACCATAGATATCAAAATAAACAGCAGTAAAAAGGCTCTGGGTGTTTTCCACATATATCTCACAGTTTAATTCCTGTTCTGGGTAATAAAATTAACTGAAAGGAAAAGCCTGTGCTAGGTTAGCTGGACTGCAAGTGCTTTCTCATGTGCCTTTTGTTCCTGCTTATACAAGCAGCAGCTCGGAGTACGTGGTCCCTGATATCACTAGTTTTAAGAGGTGCATGCAATAAATGAAGTCACCTGCATTAGCAACGAGTATCTTCCGCATGCCTTCCGTGACTAACGAACTTGCCAAAACACTATTTCATTATACATAGGATGCGCTCCATGTCTCTTCCAAATATGACAGAGACCCAAGGAAAATTTCTTATAAATAACCCCTGAAAAACATTCTTCAGCCACGGTGCATGAAGTTTTTTGTTCTCTGAAGAATGGCAAAACAGCCTCAAGAGGCCGCAGTTATTTCGACAGCGCAGAGCTGAAAACAGAGAGATACATAATCATCTCAGGTGTGAGCATCTGAAGGAAGAACAAGTCTCTGCATGAGCAAGGGATTTGCCCCATCACATGCTGCGAATCTTGCTGCCGTGTGCCCCTCCGGAGGTGAGGGCTCTGCTGGTTCCCGGGACCGCTTTCCTGGCAAATGGAGAGACGGTGCTGTCGATGAAGTATCAAGTTATTAGTTTCTAACAGCAGGATCCAAAGGCCAGGAAACAACTACAACTGAGTGCAAAATGTCTGCTCTTGAGAGCTGGGCTATGAGGATAGGAACATTTAAGGTCAGAAAAGGAAATCTTGGTGTTAAAAGACCGAGGCTGTCTATGCAGTGTAGGGTTTAAAAAACTGGGGTGCAGAGAGGAATACATTGGCTTGAATACTTGCTCTGGGCGGACTCCCTTTGATACCATCTTATGTGCAAAGACTTTGGTACTTTAGGCTGAAATAGAACGGAAAATCGACAGCTGAGAAGGGAAAACACAGCTGCTCTGTTGAACGGGTCACCTCAGCTGGGGATGCTTTAGAGACAACGTGCTGGGAAGAAGATCTGTAAGGGAGCAGTCAGTTGAGGAAACAAATAATATTTACATGCCCTGCCCGTGGCACTGGAAATAAAACCTTCCTGCCAGTAAGAAATTCAGCCCAACCCTCCCGGCCCCACCTGCTCCTGGGGGAGGGATCGCACTATAAAAGACTCCAGGCAGTGAACAGAGATGCACAGCAATTTGGGGCTCTCCAGGGAATCCTCCTGCTCCCGGTTGCGACCATGGGAAAGAGAGTGGCTGTCGTTCTGGCCGGCTGTGGGGTGTACGACGGGAGTGAGATCCACGAGTCTTCAGCCGTGCTGGTGCATCTCAGCAGGGAGGGGGCACAGGTAAGAGGCGCCCCGGCAGGTCCTGCCCCATCTCCGGCTCCTTTTGCTCTGCTCTGCTCTGCTATCTCTCTCTCTCGAGGAAGGTACTCGTCTCTAAGGAGCTTTGCAGCTTGCTGGACAAATCCCAAGCTGCGCATTGCTGCCAGGGTAATGGCAAAGCATCACTGACCGGAGTCAAAGCGAACGGCACGGGTGTAGGAGCTGCTACAGCGAGCACGGAGAACTCCCGGGTCTCTGCTTTGCTGTACGAGAGGATTGGCTTGGTGCTCTGTGTTGAGCACGTCCAGACTCTGAAACGAACTTTCCTAAATGCCTTCTGTATCCTTTTTGGCTTGCACCTCCTCTTTTCTGCTTCGGTATTTCTGGTTAAAAGATTACTATTGGGTTTTGGCTGTTTTAAATTCACCTTTTTAAAACCCCCAAAGAGTAGAACGGAAAATAGACAAGTTCTTGTGAGATGAATTTGGATAGGGGTAAAAAAGGCGACCCTCAATCAGCTGCTCTAACGTGCCGTTAGTCATGACAGTCACTCTGCCAGACTGGAAGAGGAGGGAGAGAAGCCCTGTGTAACGCTACCCTCAGCTCTGAGCCTCCCACAAATCTGGGTCAGAGCCCTTCTCCCGGGAACCCCAATTGCTCTATGAAATACGAAGGCCCAGTGGCGATGTACGTGTGCCGCAGAGCCAGCCCACCCAATTCCGAAGCCTTCACAGCGCATTCTCTGTCTGGCTCACCGCTGGGACTTGTCCAAACCTTTTCTCCGCTGTCTGTAATTTTGCCTCTCCTCTCCTGGAGCTGCGGCAGTCGCTTCCATACTGCCATACCCTGAACTGGGAAATTCACAGCACCGTCCGCACTCATGCCTGGGTAGGCAGGGACCTCTAGCGGAGGACACCCAGGACTTATTTCAACCCTCTCCTTTTATTTTTCGGTCATGCTTGCCTAAGGAAACAAGGAATAGCACAGCACAGCACAGCACAGACTAGACCATTCCAGTTGGAAGGGATTTACAACGACCACTGAGTCCAACTGCCGGACCAATTCAGGGTTGACCAAGTTAAAGGATGTTGTTAAGGGCATTGTCCAAATGCCTCTGAACCACTGCCGGGCTTGGGGCATCGACCACCTCTCTAGGAAGCCTGTTCCTGTGTCTGACCACCCTCTCGGTATAGAAATGCTTCTCAATGCCCAGTCTGAACCTCCCCTGGCACAGCTTTGAACCATTCCCACTCGTCCTGTCCCTGGACCCCAAGGAGAAGAGCTCAGCACCTCTGTCTCCGCGTCCCCTCCTCGGGAAGCTGCAGAGAGCAATCAGGTTGCCCCTCAGCCTCCTTTTCTCCAAATTAGACAAACCCGGAGTCCTCAGCCACTCCTCATAGGACGTCTCCCAGCCCTTCACCAGCTTTGTTGCCCTTCTCTAAAAGCCTTTGAGTACCTTAACATCCTCCTTAAGCCTCCAAGCTTGTAGAGTCCCAAAATCTATCGCCTGTTTGCGATGTTTTCCACTCTTAATTACTGCATGTGAGCCTGAAACGGTTCTGAAGGAAGGGGAGGTATTTTCCAGAAAAATAAATACTCTGGCTTTGGGAAAGTAGTGGCTGGGGAGAAGAAACTCGAAGTCCTGTCTTAAGGAGGCCCATGGTGTGACAGCAGCACCCACAGGGGATGACTGGCGCTGTGGGGGGCGGCTGGGGCAGGGCTGGGGCTGCCCCACTGAAGGGGATTGCTTGGGATGCGGATGGAAACCCCTAAGAAATGGCTTCACCACCGGCTCTTGGGACACCTCGTTTTCCTCAGAAGGAAAGGAGTCACTGCTTCCTCTCCAGCACTTCAGGCCCCAAAACAAGCAGTGTGGGCTAGCTTCTCTGCTTTCACCTAACACCACCCTCATTCCTTTAGGGTCAGGGTAAATGTTCCTGTGCAGAAGCTATAAAAGACTTCCCTTTCTTTCCCCTCCCTATGATAATAACCTTCCTGATGACGGTATCAGCTACAGGTGAGCCTGAAGGTCACTGCATTCACCAGCAAAGTTCTTTCCTAACAAAGTAACTCAAACATTTTCATTCACTGCCTATGATCTTTAACGTCCTTAGGATACGTGACTGAAGGGTAACAGACCTTTCCCCTCCCTCCTCAGGCAGAGGTTTATGCTCCTGATGTTGACCAGATGCATGTGGTGGACCACGTGAAAGGACAGCCAACTCAGGAGAAGCGCAACGTGCTAGTTGAAAGTGCCAGAATAGCCAGAGGCAACATCAAGGATCTAGCTAAGCTGGATGTCAAGGGGCTGGATGCCCTCATCATACCAGGTAGGATGGCACACGGGGGCTGCACGTCCAAAGTTTTGGGAACAGCTTAGATTTGCCATCAGCCTTGAATGACATGGGAGTCCTGGGCTGGAGGGGAACCGGGCAGAGGCACTGGGGAAGAAGACAAGCTGAAAGCAGGGACTGGAAGGAGAAACATCTTCCATCTGTGCTGGCACTGGCATGCAAGCTTGGACTTATATTAAAAGAGAACATGGCAATGCAGAAGCTTATCCCAAGGGGAGAGGGCAGATAACTGCCAATTGAATTATCCTCTGTATCATCTACTGAGCTTTTTTTTTTTTTTTTTTTACTGGATGTAAAACTATCCCCTCCCTCACCAACACACCTACCTCCTTGCCAGGAGAAGCAGAGGCTGGGATGGAGAGCAGGTGACTCAAAAGCGGAAAGCTTGGTCAGTCTGGCAATTCATCTTCGGTGAAAGTATGACCACGTGCTTTCAGTGGCGGTGGATTAGGCCTGGAGCAAGGATTAAGAGACAAGTGAAAACTTGTTAGCGTGTTCTACCATAATTCAGACAAGAGCTCATGGGTGCAACACAGTACCCAACAGAGCACTGATACCTTTCCGCTTCAGTTCTGTGTGGAAGCAAGAAATGAGCTCTGATGTCTCATCTCCTGGCAGTCAGCTCACACAGGTTCAGCTTGTCTATTTTTAATTCTTTTATCAACATTGGACAAATGCTGCCATCCACCAAATCCATTTAAGCATTCTACTAAGTAATACCTGAAAAAAAAACCTGCCCTGGAGTACTAATCTGTTTCTCTTTTCTCAGGTGGCTTTGGAGTGGCTAAAAACCTGAGTACTTGGGCCACCCAAGGCAAGAACTGTGTCGTCTCCAAAGAGGTGGAGGATGTCCTGAAGGCATTCCACGCTGCCAAAAAGCCCATTGGCCTGTGCTGCATTTCCCCAGTGCTGGCAGCCAAAATCTTCCCAGGCTGCGAGCTGACCGTGGGTCACGACACAGAGTGTGAGAAGTAAGTAACCTCAGAGGGCTGCTACGAAATCATACTGTGAACATCACAGAATCAGCAATGCCTCCCCAATGTATGTAGCACCTCATCTCATGCACTTCTTGGTCCCAGGGTAGGGAAGACACCAGACCACTGACTCCTTAAGATAAGCAGATCCTAGGTAGGACCAGGATGGTTGCACAAAACTTGGTCGGGTTAACAGAGGGAGGGAGTTAAACCGTCCTTGCTCCTACGGGAAAGCTCTGACTGAATTGTCCCATTGGCAGGGAAGGAACTATGATGGCCCTTCCTTTGAAGGGCTCGGAAGTAATGTCACTTGTAGGAAGCTGGTGGGGAAAAAAAACCCCAAACCTAAACACAAAGTCTGGTGTGGGCAGAGTTAAGTAGTGGAACATCTATCGTGGAACATTAAGGTCTTATTTTGGCTTCACTTCAGATTTTTAACTTGCTGTAATCTGGAAGTTTTCCTGGTTCTGTAGTTCCGGAGAAAATCCTCTGACAGGAAAAGATTTGGATCCGATTGTGCAGGCTTTCTGCAGGGACCATCCATCTTCCTGTAATTAACAGACTTCTCAATCCAGGCATTCATCAAATCGCTCTGTGTAATGACACCTTCGCCACACAGAGTTCATTCTCTTTTCTTCTTGTAGATGGCCTTACGCAAAGACTGCCGAGACCATGAAGGAGCTTGGCTGCAAGCATGTGAACAAACACGTCACTGAAGTTCACGTGGATGTGAAGAACAAGCTGGTGACCACCAGCGCCTTCATGTGCAATGCCCCCATTCATGAGATCTACGATGGCATCGGAAAAATGGTCAAAGAAGTGGTCAGACTTGCCTGAATGCCACAAAACCCCAGAATCCGTCTCCTCCGGAGTGCAGGCACTGAGCCTCGGAGAACGTTCTTCCCCTTTTTACACCCACATGTCAACAGGCAAACTGCCACTCAGACGGAGTTCTTCCCCCCCACCAGACCTCTGGGGGCTGCTGAGGAGGGAGAACTCCGGAGCAGTGGAAGCGTTGTCGTGTCCTGCCAAGGAGATGCCTCTTACTGACAGCAAACTGGCAGTACTCGGAGTGTGGGCACGCACCGAGCCGGCACGCAGAAGCCAGCGGGGCTTCCACAGGGCTCAAATACAGCCGTTGTCTTTGGTTCTGAGTGGCTGAGGAGTTGCCTGAGTCATGTCAGTCATGACTGGGCTGACCTGACATGTCCAAATCGTGTACCAACAGGAATCGGCCCCTTTCTGAGATCCCTTACACGTCCATCTTTGCCAGTACTCCAAAGCTCCCCACATGCCTCTGCCCCACAGAACACAGGAATTAGCAGCAAACGGAACAAACGCGGTTTTGCTACTGAATAAAACCTGACACTTTTTACATGCGCTGAATTCTGCTTTCTTTTTTTTTTTTTTTTTTTTTTCCACTTTTTACTCTGGATTAGGGCATGCTTTTAGTGCTACTGGTTGGCCAATGAGTGGGGAAAACAACAGAGGAAGAAGTCACCAGCAACAAATCCAACTTGTTTTGCTGGGATGTGTCAGAATCCAGATTTGGGCACGCATACAGTATCAGTGAGAGCAGAATGAAACCAATGTCGGCATCCAGGTCGAACGGGAAGGGGTGAAATTCTTCCCTTGTACTAACAGAAGACCTGCTAGGATAGCATGGAGTATTTTGGAAGCAGCCTTCCATACTGCTCCCAGGCAGAAAGAGTGCGGGGTGAGGGCTAGGCATCCCAGAGAAAGCTGGGCAACCTCCAGTCCCTTCCAGTCTCGAGAAAAATTCCTAGAAACAACCTTGAAGCAACAATTCTGCGTTGCAAGAGGGACAGAGTACCTTATGGCAAGTAATTGTTCCTAAGCCCTTGAAGCCTTGTCCTGTGCACAGCGCGGGAGTTCAGGAAAGGTACAGAAGTTTCTGTCATAAGCAATAACTTTTGAGAGTTATACAGGATTTTCTGAGATTGTTTTGACTAACTTACCAGATAGGCTGAAAAGCTACGGGGTGTAAATGCAATAGGGAGAATTCCAGGGACTGGCTGAAGAATTTGAATTAATCTCTAACTTTAGTTCCCACCTACACAGACACAAAGCTAGGAACAACCCTTTTTGCTGGGATGCGGAAAACTGCTTGTCCCAGTGGAGAAGGAAAATCAACCCCAAAGATGAAACATTAACAATATTTTGGTGTGTTTTGACACCCAAGAAAGGCAACAAACAAGAAATAAGGAAGCTGGAGAAAAGTGACATTGTAACTGGCTGTTTATATGGAAATGGGAGAAAAAAAGAGAATCCTGTAGTTAGGAGTCGGTCAGTGTCAGAATCCGTAGGAACTCCTTTTTGTCCACTTCCCCATCTCCATCCACGTCTGCTTCATCAATCATCTCCTGGGGGATAACAAAGATTTGGAGACCAGGTTAGGTTGGATCTGAGAGGGTGGACACTCACAAAGGAAGGTCGGAGGCAAGGTCCAAGTGAGACTGAGATCTCGTCCACTGCAAAGTAACATAGCACAACCGCCCAACCAGTCTTCCCCGCAGTAACACACTCCCCTCTCTCCCTGAGCAGAGCATGAGAGGAATATGTTTGTACTTCACAAACCTGCAGCTCCTCATCCGTGATGTCTTCCCTAACCTGCCCAGCCACCACTTTGAGATTCTCCAAGGAGATCTTGCCAGTGCCATCACAATCAAACACCTTGAAAGCTTTCAGGATCTCCCTTTCCAGACATGGCTCCGCCTTAGCAAGGAAATGAAAAATGCCTTCGTGTAAACATGACATCAGACCGCCCTACAACCCCGCAGTTGGGGACTTCAGCCAGCAAACATTTGCAATCCAATCCAAGACGTCATTTTGGGGAAAACATGGCCATAGAAGAGGGTTATCTATGCTGCTGCTTCACCTTTGCCTTCCCCCCGACCCCTGTATAACTGCGTATTAAAGGAAAAGCCCCAAGAGAAGTTGCCTGAGCAGCGTGCGGACTTGGCCTGGAATACCCTGGCCAAGCTTGGCCAGGAAGAAGGGGACTCACACTACTACTGGAGGAGGAAGCAGCTGCCAAAAATGATCCAACGGCTATAGCTTTCTTTTATTTCAAAAGCGAGCCAGGCCAATTCTGGCTCTTACTGCCCTTCCTCAGCTCACACACAGGCACTGCGTACACAAGTCTGCAGGCAGCCGTGGGCTCCGACTGAACTAGGGGGAAAACGGGAAGGATGGGAGAGGCAGAACCAGGCAAGCTGGTGCTCTTTGAGAATGTCCTATGTCTGCACGCTGCCAGGGACGACAGGATACAGAGGGTTTTGAGCCACAGGGATCTCAGACGGGCGATGAGGACTAGGGAACATGAAGCTGATATTGAACAGCATTTCTTTGGACTCTGCACAAGCTTGTGTGGCTGTTGTGACACCTGTAAGTGGACACCAAGGAATGATTTCTCTGCAGATGGTGAATTGTCCATCTGATGTATGACATTTGCTCACTGAGGCCTCAACTGAAGATAAATGGCCCTGTGACTATAAAGACAGAACTGAAATTTCATGTGGAAAGGTCTAAAGAAGGGAATTGGGGGCTCCTCGGTGCTGTGTGTGCTCTGGGATGGGAAGGAGATTTCTGCTGAGATGCAGCTCTCTCCATCTGAACTGACCGTCCTGCTCCCTCTATAGCTCACGGAAAGAGGCAAGAGGGGTAAGGACAATTCACCCAAAGGTAGATCTCTAAAATAGCTCCAATGAAACTCCTGAAACACTCCTGTTTCTCCCCTGCAGGGAAGCAGAGTGACCCAATCTACTGTGGCTCCCTGCATCATAAAGTTAGGAAAGAGGAATTTCACTCCTCATGACCAGCTGGGCTCACATACCATTTTCTGAGTCATCACCTGCAGAAATGACTTAAAGTTTAGCTTCCCTGACCCTTCTTCACTGAATTCAGAGACGATTCTCTTCATATCTTCTTTCCCCAGTTCACAGCCCAGAGCCCTTACAGTTACCTGCCAAAAGAGAAAACAGACCAATGTCTTGGTGTACAAATCAGGCAGAAACAAAGAGGGAAAAATGTTTGAAACAAGCAGAGACATGAAATTGGTGAAAAAAAACCCAACTTTCCATCAACAGCTATTCATCTGCCATTTTGTCTCCAGAGAACAGGGTTCTGTAGCTGTCTAACATCAGTAGTATAAGGCCGTGAAAAATTACCAGGTGCTTGTAAATGATTAGCCCCATTTCCAACATTTATGTTTACTGCCAGTCATTTCTGTTTGGCTACAGTAATTCCAGTTGCAGGTGACACCGTGGCCACAGAGCAACTGTGCCATTTTTACCAGCCTGAGGGCTGATGTGGGTCACTCAGACTGTGCAAACGCACCCCAAAGAGCAGTGAACACCCTTCAGCTACAGCAACTTGCACTGTGTTTGTAAAGGCAGTTAGAGGATGTAGGCTGATGGAGAATTTTGCCTGTAAAACGTCATTCCTCCACATTCATCCCACAGCGTCACAGAAAAAGGACCCAACCCCATCACTGCTCTGGGCTGAGTTCAATCAGCAGCAGAGAGATGAAAACTCTACACGCTGTTCTAAACCCCCACTCCAGGTGGAGTAGTATAACCGCAATACTGCAGGAATATGATTTTCCCCACGTGAAATGGGTTACGAAGGATATGCTGCACATTGCGCCTTCTTTCAGGTCTGCCCAAACAAAGCCCCTGCAGCACAGGTTAACGTTACCCGGGTGCCCCGATGCAAATGTGACAGAGGAGATTCACAACCAGGGTAGGAAAGTAGAAGGCCTCTAGATGAGAGCGGTGGGAAAATTTCACTCCACCTCCTAAAAGCTCACCGTGACCAGAGGTTCTCATTCCTGACCAGGTTTTCTCCTCCGTAGCCGAGACATGGGAATGAAGCAACGCAGCTGTGTGGGGCTTCACGGGGGGGGAATGAGAACAAGCGAGGAGTCCCCAGACCTCACAGCCTTTGCTTTCGGCACTAAACACGCTGCGTTTTTACTGCTGCTTGCCTTCAAGCCGCTGACATACATCAGGCCCGAGCCGTCGCCATCGAACAGCTCGAAGGCCTCTCGCAGCTCTCGCCTCTGCTCTTCGCTGAGCGGGAACGCGGGAGCCGGTTCCTCCCTCGGGGATCTGCCCCCGCCGGCGCCTCCCCCGCTGCTGGAAGCCTGCGGGGAGAGATCCGCCGCCCTCAGCGGGGCCGGGGACCGCCACAGGCCGCGGTGTCCCTCTCTGCCGCCACTGCCTCCGTTTCCCTCAGCAACGCCCCACCCCGCCTTAGGGGAGATTTCCACGGAGCAGCCGTGTCCCCGCTGCCCGCCGAGCACCCCCGGGGCCGCGGCCCGTCGCCGAGGAGCCCCGGGCCGGGGCGGGGAAAGGTAGGCCCGGCCCCGCCGCCCCGCTCACCATCCCACCCGCAACCACGCCTCTCATTGGCTAGCGCTCCTGCTCCTCAGGGAAAGCGCGGTGGCTGATTGGCCGAGGGGGCGGGACAAGGCCCGCGGGGTAGCCCCGCCCTCAACGCCGCACTGAGCGGCTCTGTCGGTATTTGCGCGTTCCGCTTTCCGCTTAAAATAAAGACACTTTATTTTAAATACAACGTTGTATTCGCAGCTACTGAATATTCCCGCAGACATTTCATCAGCAGCACTGGTAACTTCCCTCTTCTTTTGCAAAAAGTGCAAACTGAATAGCGGTAAATTAAGTTACCCCCCCACCCAGTTTAAAGAAAAATGCTAAAAACCAGGGAGGGGATAATTACCATAAGACAGTACTAAAAAGCTGACCCCTGCAAATATGTCATATAAAATGAGTTCTCAATAGCTAGGCCAAAGCAAAAAACTTCCAAGGGTGGGGAAATCGAGATTGACGCCATCTGGTTTTTAGTCCTCTCTTTACCAAACCAAAAGTGTTTGACACATGGTTTTTCGAGAAGGATCCGAATACCGGCACTGAAAAACGTGCTTCATGTTTTGAAAACAGAGTGTAAACATCTTAAGAGCACAAACAAGCAACCAGGTTGCTACAGGTAAACAGGTTAGCAGTTGGGTCACAAACACAAGTTTAACATCATCCACTTAACAAAAATAATAATAAATATTGACCTGTATTTTCTGCTGTCTCAAAAGAAACAAAAGACTGTAAAAAAAGTGAGGCACCAACCAAATGTATATACATATATGCTAAAATAAACTCTGTTTCAGTAAAGGCTGGTCTTCTTCATGATCCGCAGGAATTCCTGCTCGTTCACTTCCCCATCCCCATCTCTGTCTGCTTCATCGATCATTTCCTGAAAGACATTTGGATTCAGAAATCAGATGGGGATTAGAGTTATTAATTCAGAATTAAAACCTCTTCTAAGTAAATTGTATTGGAGGGGACAGTGTTAGCTCAATGTCAAACCTACCATGCTACAAAATATTTACTTAACTAAACACTAATGTGATTTTATATATATTTTATACGAAAATCCGTATAGAAAATGTTGTATTATAGGAACTGTCGTGGAAGAAACAACATGCTTGGCGCAGAGTTGTTCCTTTTACAACACTGTAACTCCGTAAAACTGTAATTCTACTGACGCGATTCCAACAGCCACGTACACATAACCCATCTTTGGTCTCAGGATCCGCTTCCCAACCACAAACTGAGAGAAGCTCTTCCATTTCTGCCAGGAGGGAATGAGACTGCGACTATTTACACAGGTTTTAAAGAAATGCAAATATGAAACCAGGTAACACCTTAACATTCCACGACTGCCTTCCGATTCAAGGGACACAGCCTGATCCAGACCTTCCAGTGCTCACGACACACAGAGGGCGACCGTGAGCGCCGCGCTACGCTGTGGTTTCGTACACCAGGTACAGACCTGCAGCTCTTCATCGGTGAGATTTTCCCCCAGTTCTTTGGCAACACGTTTGAGGTTTTTGAAAGAGATTTTGCCAGTTTCATCGTCGTCAAAGAGTTTGAAAGCTTTGAGAATCTCCTCCTTGGAATCTTTTTCAGCCTTAAAGAAGTAAGCACAAGTTTAAGGAAAAACAGTAGTGGTTATATTGTAGGTAACGCTCAAAATAAAGTTTTAAAAGACACTCATTAGAAAGACTGAGAAACTCTCTTAAGAGCAAATTTAAAGAACCCCCAGCCAGCAGGAAGGATGTGTACAAAAGCTGAAGGCAGGGAGAGACACAGAGATGCTTCCCGAACCTCAGGGTTTCAGGGAATTTTTTCCCCTCTCATAGCTAGCCAGATCTCTTTGGGATTTCAGTATCCAGATCTCCCACTGTTAAAATACCTGGTTTTACTCAACATTTAAGATTTTTAAAACCAGAGATTTCATCTGTAAATGTCTTGAAAATCAATAAAAGAAAATCCAGTGCGTTGCTACACAGTCACCCATGTCACATGTCAATACTCCCAACAGCTTTCTGCAGGCCAGAGCTGGTTTTAAACCGTGACAAAAACCTAGATTTCAGTTTTTCCCTTTTCTCTCACAAACAGAACTGATTGCTAAAGAAACTTGTTAATGACATAATTAATTCCACCTGAACTTGAAAAAGGAGATATGGTAGTCCCTCTCTTGCAATTCTAACTTTTATATATTTTGTTGTTAAGATTAAATTAGTGCTTTCATCTTCCACTGAAACCAAAAGGAGATGAAAGGCACTCAGCCATTTTCAAAATTGCTTTCACTTTGCCTTTTAAAATCAACATACCATTTTCTGCGTCATCACTACCAGGAAGTCATTGAAGCTGATTTTTCCTGTTCCTTCTTTATCGATATCTGATATCATTTTCTTGATCTCTTCTTTTTTAGGTTCAAACCCTAGTGCTCTCATAGCCACCTGTGAGAACAAAAATAAATAATTATAAATCATACAAAACTATAAACAAACCACGAGGATAGGGGGAGCAGTTGAACTTTATGCCACATAGTGTTCAAACACGCATTCTGTGTCTCAAGGGAAACTGCAAGGTAAGTGGCAGACTTAGAACAAGGCTTCTCTACACACAAGGGCGCATTGAGATGCCGAAAACAGGAATACAACCATTCATATTCTGGAGCTGTCCTTCAGTGACTTCAGAAACTTCCTAAACCCATTCTTACCATCGCATCCACCACCCCTAGCTTGGAACTGGCAAGAATTCGGAGGGTAACACTACATAATAGAGCCTTGCGAGAGGGATTTTCTTTGAGAAAAGTTGGATTTTTATTTTTTTTTTAGAAAGTCTTAGCATACCTATTTTGGTGTAAGCTTTTTTTTTTTTTAAATTCTTGTGGTGGGCATTCAGAGCAGAAAGAGTCCCACTTTGATTAATATTTTGAAGGAAAAATCCCAAACTGCTGCATGGTGCTGTGAATAGCAATTTCCAAGCTTACTAGAAAACCAAATGTTATTCCATTCTTGTCCAGGGAATTGCTGCTAGTATTCCCTTTACAATGAGAAACAAGACACTAAATAATAATTTTAAAAAGCGCTTATTTCACTCCCTGTTGTAAGCAAAATGGCTAAATGGAAGACGTAGAAATGCCTCAACAAAATAACTTCAAGACAAGTGACTCCACAGAAAAAAAAGTTTCCATCGTACCTACAACTCTACAGAACTCCGACAACCTGATCCGATGGCACAAACATGGAAGGTCTTAAGCTAGTAGATGGGGAACTTAAATGAGTTAATTTTTCATGCTAGTGACATGAATCTCTTTTGATGAATGTTGGGAAAACACAGTTCAAACACTTGGTGTGCCTTTTTGACAACACTTCACTAAGCAGCATATCCAAGGATGCCTTCACTAGCAGACACATGTATGCACACATACATGCTTTCCTTTTTCCTCCTTTGATAAAGGGACAAGAGGCACATCTGAAATCAGGTCTGCTCCCTATGGTCTTAATTAATATGGACATCCAGCTTGCAAATAGGAGGGGCAAATTCTGAAAGCAAAAGAAGTCCTAATTTATTGATTACTGTTCTTCCCAAAAGACAGGGATGGGGAGGGACCAAAAGTGTTTTGCAATAAATAAAAACATGAACACCATTAGTGTATTCCTTAGCTTGGATAACCTAATTAGCAAAGTATGCAATCCTCAACAACACATAAGAGGGGGTAAACTCCCCACTTCAATATGCACAAACCCTTTCCAATGTTTTACTAACAGACAAGGAGACAGTTCAGAAAATACAGAACTATCAATGTATTTTGGCCAGCCTGGTCCTAAAGACAACTGATAACAGCAGTAAAGAGCTTATAATTAAAGACAAAAACGTTCCTCTTGACAACAAGATGGGGGGGGGGGCAGAATCTCACCTGTTTAAGGGCATTTATGTGTTTATGCCCCTATAACTTTATAATCCCAGTAGAACTGCACCTCTAGCACCACGAAGACTCTTACCTTTAGCTCCTTAACATCTATGTTGCCGGTGCCATCTGTGTCAAACAGGTCGAAAGCCTCCCGGATCTCCTGCTTCTGCTCCTCGGTCAGCTCCAGCTTGGGACTCGCCTTCTTCCTCTGCGACGCGGCTCCTAGCGAGGGCTTCTTCAAGCTGGAGGCCTTGGCACAGCAACACAAGAGAAAAGGAGCATCAGGCCGCCGCCGCAATGCCCCGTCCCGGGAAGGGGGGTGAGGCCCGTAGGACGGC